TTACTTTTTTCCGAATGAGTTCCTTGTAAAAATGTCACATTGCAGTTCTTCTCAAAGGCTACTTAATATTCTTCTTTTCTTAAAAGAGATGTGTATTCCCTGATATCTGAGGGTTTTTTAATCAGCTCTGAAAATGGCCTGTCTTCCACATTGTTTGTCTGACTGAATTAGAGGAAACACACAAAAAACCCCTAATCTGTGTATTTCTTATTTGACTTGGGAAAATAGATAGCTGTGGGCACAACACTTTAATTTCAGAGATTTTTGTATTGCCTAAAATATTACTAAAGGATTTCTCCTAGTCATGTTTTTAAGAAGTCCTTACAAAACTAAGCATTTTACAGAATCTGACTCACTATCTGCAAGCTTAGAAGTCACCAAGCATGTCATTATGAACTTCTTGGTCATGATATGGAACATTATCAGGTTTGAATTGGTTTTAGTGGCATTTTTAAAACAAATAAAGTAGAACCTCTTAGAAAACAGAATGTGTAGTTCAGTGGAAAATGTAATATTTCACAGTGTTTCACTCCAAACAGGGATAAAAATGTAAAACTAGAATTGTATTTATTCTGAAGTATTATGATTTTTTAATATTGGAACACTTACTATTTTGGATGTTAGAAAATATTGATATGAAAAATATCATATTAAAATAGATACTCTAGCATTAAAGTTTACATTGATTCCAAATTATAGTTGAACTAAGAATTTAATATCATAAAGATGAGCCATTTTTCTTCACTTATACTTAATTAAAATTAATTTAAATAAATTATCTGTTAAAAATGGTGAAATGTTTTACTAACACTTAAAAATTAATAAAACTATAGTCAGAGGTTGTTTGATTAAAAATATTTCTGATCAATTTTAAAGTAAAATAATCCTCTAAATACCTGCTCAGCTGCAACTTTCAACATGTGTTTTGAACCTGTAAAATTGAAACAAGACACAGTTTTGCATGTGGACAATTTAAAATGGTACAAACATATTTCATTTGCAAAGATTCAGGTAAGGACAATAACTGTATTTAACATTGCTTTATGGAGCTACATAAGCACTGTTGGTTGTGTTGAATTAATTTTAACTGTTCTAAAAAAAAAGTCAAGTTATTTTCCTTCCCTTCAAAAGTGTATCTATCTTCTAGAGCTCTAAAAGGCACAACACTGCAGCTCCATTACATATGTCCTATAAAAGCCCTCAAAAACACTAAGCACAGGAGCTGTGATATATAGATACAGTTTGTTGGAGCAAAGCACAAAAAGCTATAGGATATATACTGGAGGATCATGAACCTTTGCAGATTCTGCTCTTCTATAGTACAAAGGGCAAGAAAAGCAACACCTACAAAGTTTGCTTGAGTTATAAGATCAACAGCAAACTAGATTCACTACTACTCCTACAAACTGTGATTAAATTCCCTCCATAGATCCTTACAAGGAATTCCACGTTTCCTCCCCAGAAAAATGAATGAGTCTCAAATCAATAGTCTCCAATATTAATAATAACTTAATTAAGCCAAATTATAAATTCCATTTTAATTTTTATTATTATCTTTAATTACATTTTTAAACTTTCCTGCAAGTATGAAAGTTGTAAAAATCAAAATCTTATAAATAATTTTTCCTTAATTATTATATCTATGTTTATGCACAGGAGGCATTCAATATGTCCCCTAATTTAAGGAGTTACTTGATTGCTACCAGAACAGCTCCATTCTGCTAGGTATGAAAAGGAAGATAGAAAGCAAGATACTGGTGGTTTATTTTGGTCTTTACAAGTCCTAGACCTCAAATTTCTTGTAAGTTTAAGGGAAAAGGATGATGGAAATTGCAAAGATCATAAGATGTTTGGCCTATAGAATGAAAATGTCAGAATTCCCAAAGGGCAGGAAATCTTAAGCTTACAAAGAATTCATTCACAGTGAAAAAGAGGAATACTTAAAGACTCAGCAGCACCTCTTCTGTGACATACTCTAGCCTTAAAATTAACTTTGGTTTGGCAGAGAGCTACAGAAAAATTGTGTAAGTGCTACAGAGGAGGATCAGTGAGTAGATGAGAGAATAGGCAGCAAGCTGGGAAAAGCAGAGGCATTTATACATATCATATTTATTATATATATCTAAGATAACCTAATTCCACCCTACACCTGCCACAAAGAACTGTGGGGGATCTGTGGGCACCCTCTGGGCTTGAAATTGCTGTTTCCCTTTTATTTGAGTTCTCTTTTTATTTAAGTTCTTTTTCAGTCTGCTGTTTCTTCAGTTTCTGATACACAATGCTTAACCCTGTGCAGCGATGGGAACCTGGTTTTTAATGAGTGATGAATGGTTTCCTACAATTTTATCAGTTTTATGACTTCAGGGAGGGTGTACATGCATTTCCATTTTAAAGCACATATTAAAAGTACCAGGAATTAAAGTGCAGCACACAAGAGCAAAGAAGGAACTAAATGGACAAACTTCTTTAAAGGGCTTTCTTTTTCTTTTGCTAAGCATCAGATCATATCAGCTCGTGTTGCCTGTTGTAAACCATACTGGCAGTGTAAAGGACTTCGGTATTATTTGAAATAGATTCCTTACCTCTTTAAACATCAGATTGAGTCAAAAGAATAATTCTACACAATAATGATGTATTTCTTCCACCCTCTACTCGTCTCCAGAGCCCAAGTGTTTGTTGCATGACGTTCTATAGTTCAGTCTGCAATCAGCAATGCAGAGCCATTACAGCAATCCGATGTAATCTGCTTTATCACCAGGAAAGCTGTTGCCAGAAAAATTTCTGATTACCACGACTTTTATACTAATTATACTAGTGAAAGTGTACATGGTATTTAAAGCACGTCTTGATTTTCAGTCCTGGAGTTGTATTTTCAAGCATAAAATTGGAGTGGCTTAGTTAACAATTTTGTTTTATTGAGCAAGCGCATTCTTTGAACAAAGTATGAAATATCAAGGTAGCATTTTTAGCAAGGAGATTTGCACGTTTAGCCAAAAGCAAAACTTTCAAGCTGATTTTCATTGCATGTTGAATTGGTAGAAAATTAGCTGTGGCCAGAGAAAACTTTGATCGTTGAGACTTAGGGCTGAAATATCTAATGACCTTTCCTGTGCCAAACAACCCCTTTTACTGTATTCCCATGACTCCCTCTGGTGGCAAATCGCTCCATCCCAGCTGTGGGAGAGCATCTTCCCTTGGCTTTTTTCTGATGTTTCACATGGATTAGAGGCATCGTGGTTGATTCTTAGCTCATTCAGGTAGTGGAAGTCCAGTTAAAAAATAATATTTCTTGTTTGCATACTTCCCTTTTATGTATCCCACCACTATATATACATATCAGAAAGGGTGCTGATTTGTCTCAGGCCAGCCTGCTAAGGCCAAGAGCAGCACCACGAATGTGAAAATAGGGAGTTGCAGTTCCCAGTCAGTGTCATACTAGGAAAATTGTGTAAGTGCTAGGAAAATTGAACCTGGATTCTCCTCTTACCTGGGGAAATTTACAGCACTCAGTTAGTTATATAAGAACCTTAATGCCTAGTTATATAAAGGAACTTTAATGCCTACTAACTCACTTTTACTTTCAAGGTTTTTCTTTTCCCACCGTTGGAGACAGCACTTTCTACCTGCTGCAGCCCTTGCAGACCTATCTGCTGCATAGACACATATCAGTGGAGCCTGACAGTCTCTGTGTATAAGAAATCCTAGCAAATGTAGTAGGAATTTGATGACAGAAGACCCCCTGTGGCCTGGTCACCCAAGTTTAAAAAAACTGATTTGGTTCCAAAATTATCTTACATAATTAAGTCACTTTAATGATGGCTAAACTCATTTGTAAACATTACCCTTTTTTCACTTAGGACTTTTCCTTTCTTGTGCCCATCTGACCTCACTTTCATCAAGCAATGCCAATGGCTAAAATATTAAGAGAAATTGCAGATTTTAAAGAAAAAGTGATCACGCTCAAACTCACAAGCTGAAAATGAGATGAAAATACTTCTGTTTATCCTGCTGTCAAATCAACTGTGTTTTATTTGTTACATTACAGAGATCAGTAACAGGGGTTTTTACAAGGGCACTGTGTTGGCAAGTCACACTCTGTACCCACAATGAACATGTAATTCCTCCTCTCATGGTGAATAAATCATCTTAGCTGAGTACATAAGGATGATGTGCAAAAGCATCATGACTGTCCTAAAAGGCAGAATGATATGGTGTTATGTCTGAGGAATGAAGGCAGAATGAGATATGAAGCACTATAATGCAGGATGATGATGTACTGGTGATCAAAATAGAGCAGTCTGCCATTAAACAATAGTGTGCATTACTGGGAGACAAAGGAGATCTCTTTATATCACCTCTGCTAAACAGGATCCTACTATTTTTAAAATTTTAATTCAGGTTATAATTCAGATCTCTTTTATACACACGTGCGTCCCTGCCAATATATACATATGCAGCATATGTGACATAATTTTCCATTGCCTAAAATGGAAATTTTTTTTTCAGTGATTTCTTATTGCAAGGCTGTTCCTCTGAAGAAAGGTAGTTCCAGTTATGTGATCCTAGGGAATTTGTTATGATTCAGACTCTGGTCTTTACCCTGTAAGTATCTATGCATGGGCTTTTTATGCTTTGATTTTATTTTTCTAGATGAATCATACCTATTGCAGCTCCCATGAAGCAGAGGTATGCCCGCCCCAGTGATGTGGAGTCAGAATAATTGTGCAAATGGAACCCGAATACATCAGTCCTGTCCCTCCCTGACAAAACAGAGTAAACTCTTGCAACATGTTTTGTCTTCTTAAGTTTGCCCTGTACTATAACTTCCTAGACTAGATTGACAATGATAATAGAGAAGCGTGAGGACTGTGAACTATAAAGATCAACATCAGAAGCCATTCCCAGAGGCCATTCCCATTACAGTGCCATAACCATTTGATTGCATTTTTCCATCCTGTGGTGGTTTTTTTCTCTGTCCAAGTGGATCTTTTTTTGCAGCTGCAGAGTGATTCAACTACAGCTGAATGCAGGACTAGTTAAACCAGCTGAAAAACAGAGCATTCTCTTAGTACAGGCACAGCGTGGATCCAAACACCTTCAGACTCAGGGATGAGTAGAAATCAGAGTGTCCTGGGTAAGTGCTTCCAAATGTCAGGTATGACCATGTCAATTAACTATTTAAACAGAAATGTTGCCTGCAAAGCCTCTGGGTTTTGTCTCAAGGATTCAGTGCTGGGGAGACCTAAATGGAACTGCCCTTTGTAGTGTTGAGTTATTGGTATCACACTCTGTGAATGACATGAACCAAACAGAGAAAACAGTAACAATGAGAATGATGCAAGGGCTAAAATCCAGAACTTACAAGGAAGGTTGTGAAAGAGTAAGAGCTGTTGGTGGAGGTCATGATCAGAAATTTGGGTATCTCAAAGACGGACTGCTGCTCAGTAAGTAGGATCTGTTATCCATGTCTGTGGTGATAAGACAACAGTAGCCTTTAATCAAAGAATGGATGGTTAGGCTAGGTGAAAAGGCACATTTCCTTTCAGCAAGGTAATTATGTACTAGAACAGCTCACCAGGGGAAACAGTAGATTCTCCATCACCAGAATTCTTGAGCAGCAGGTCAGATACAGATACAAACTCATCCAGCCTGGGGCTAGCAGAAGATTGATGACCTCCAGCTCCCACTTTTAATGTTATTTTTCTAGGTTAGGATTCTCAGAGCACATCTAAGGGGTGAACTGAGGTGAAAAATCATCCAAACTCTAGATTACAATAGGTGCTCTTCAGGAACCTTGTTCTGCACATGTCCAAGTGAAGTAGATGCTTGTATTTAGGGGCCTAGGGAACTTCCAGACTGACATTGAGAATGTCTCCAGGATAAGACAAGGGCAAAGATGCTCTCTGTAAAGACGTATTAGACACAAAGTTTACAGCTGAGCAAATTAATATCCATTTGCAGCGTATTGGCATGCAACAAGCAGGGAATTTTAGACTTCAGTGAAGTCTAGACTAGCTAATAATAACAATTGCATACTTTATGGATGTAAATTTACGTAGGTTCCTCAGGGCCAGCAAACTCAAGAACCCAACAAATTTTCCTTTCCCAGCTCTGCAACAAAATCATGCAGTTATATATACAAAAACATAGTTAACTCTGGATGGATAATTTCTTACCCAAGCAGTACATGTGTACAACTCAAGTTTAAATATAGTATTATTAAGGCAAAAACTCTTTCCATACATGAGTAAGACATAGCATTCATAGCCTATCTGTTCTGCTTTTTCTTCCTGCTCTGCTTCTTCAGTAACCAGTCCAGCATTTACCCTGAGTGCTTCAGAGGCAGCTCCTCTTTTAGATTCCTCCTACGTTCAGGTCTCTGAACAAGCAGAAACCATAATTGTCTGTTGTCCATATCATGACCTCCTTGAATATCCCTATTTTTAAGTGCATACATTGATGGTACATCCTTCGATAAAACTACAATGTCCAGGATTACATATGTTTAACCAGTCATCAAAGAATAGTGTAAGCATAGATTCATGGTCCCTTACATTCAGGTTTTTATCTACATAATTCCCTGAGCCATTAGCTGTTGATGTACTATTGGGCAAAAGTGGTCTTATTAGTGCATCTGATTTTTTATACTATTGTGGTTTAGGAATGGTATTTCATCATTTAGAGCTCCCACTGAAACCATGCTGCCAATCAGTCCCCCTTCCAGCTTATACTGAAAGCACAAAAGGCAAAGATCCCAAGTTGAGCTAAGAACTATTTACTGGAAACAGCAATGAGATAGGAAAAGGAACAGTAACTACAACAATACTAATAACAGAAGTGTACAAAGAGAGGGTGGTTCACATGCAAAATGCTCACCAAGCCCAGGACAATGAAACTTTCTTCTGCCCACCATGGTTTTCTTCCCCTAGAAAAACCACATCATTCTTTTTGAAAACCAGAATATCCCCTTCCACCAGTCTTGGCCTCAGGTGAGATGGTACCAAATAACATTTGGGTCTTGGCCACGTTCACACTGCTCCAGGATCTGCCTCCTCACAGCTACTGCAAAAAAATTACTCTGTCCTCGGCCAAAACCAGGACATGTACAAGAACACATATATCAGAGGCACCATATAGCTGACTGTAATGAAGAAACACAGAATATCATTTGGATGATACCGTTTGTCTTCTGTGATTTTATTCATAAAAAGTCTTGTGGAATATACATAATTAACATTGCTCAAATATTTTATTTCTCCCTGGGATTAAAGCACTAACACCATCACAGTACATCCTAGTCACTATTTCTAGGGTCGTCTGTCTCTTCACCCCCACATTCCTTCTCCTTCCTGATCCTTGCTGCTCCCTCAGCCAGAAGCTGCAGGCCAGCCAGAGATGACAGCACCAGGTCAAGGAGAAGGGTTTCACTGTAGGTTTGCTGGTAGTGGGTGCAAGGCTACTTAGTAAGACTCTGCCTTTTTTCAATTCCTTTTGCGAAGGGCTTGATCTCTGACCATGGTGCATCATGGTACCAGGATGCTGTTTCCCTTTTCACTGCTGGGTTTTTAACTCCACGAGCTGCTACTCGTCCTGCACCCATGACCGTGGATTGCAGTCACTGTGGGTGAGTGCTGGAGTGCTAGAGCAGAACAAATCTCATTAAGATCTGTGGTCATTCCTACTTATGAAGCAACATTACTACGATACTCGGAGAGGGATGATTTATTAACATATTGCAAAAGCATATACTTTTGCTAACACATAGTTAAGCTATTAAACATAGTGTTTGCATTCCTGTTCAATATGCTCATTGGTTTATTCTGTGAGAAACAATGAGTATAGGGAGGAAAAGGATTCAACAATCTTTTTTTGTGGTTTTTTTTGTTTTGGTTTTTTTTAATAAGGTCCTATAATTAGTTTGCCAAGGGTGAAGGATCATATTTATGTACAGACTGGTTCTAGGAATAGGCTTTGGTTGGCTTTGCAGTCAGATAGGAGCAAAAACTACTTCCCATAGGTATATTTTTCTGTCTACCAGTGTAACTTCTTTCCCTATGTTACTTCTGAATTATCATTCTTCCATCATCTTCTTTTCTCTATTTTTCTCCAGTCACTGGATATTTTATTTTTCACTTACTGCAATATTTTTCATGTACATTTTGAATCTACTTCTTCTTAAACTCCTTGGTGATTTAATGAAATTCATATGTCTTTGATTTCTTTCCAGAATCAGAGCCTAAAACATATTTCCTATCCTCTCTTTGATGTTTTCCTTTAGGGGAATGTTCTTTAGATGGACTGTTCTTAAATGACACCCTCTTTGGAGACTCTATTCCTTTCTGTAAGTACATTTTAAGCTCCTTCCTAATAGTGCACTCTAGTATTCACATTTAATGTCACCCTGCTTATCACATCAAAGTAATGTTTGTCCGTAGTGCTTCACTGAGGTGTAATGAACAGTATATCTGACAAACATCTGATGATGTGGATGTGAGTATGCTTCAGTGTGGTATCTCCTGAAGTCACACCCTGTTTGAAACAGAGCTGACTACTTTTCTTTATGAATAAGCAAATTTGTCTCCAAGCTGAAATAACAGGACCTCTTACCAGATTTCTATCAAGATGATTAAAACTCTTCAGAGCACCCTGTGGGGAGCCTAGGGAGAACTGAGCTCATCTAAAGTATTGTAGACTGTCTCCTGGGTGGGAATGGCAGGGCGGAGCAGCCCTGTTAGTCAACACTGCTTCTCCAAGCACAGGTCATACCAGCCCCCCCTGCTGCTACCCATGTGGTTACTGTCCTCTCCGCTGGTGTCTCACTCTTACTGAATCATAGGAAGGTCAGATATTTCAGAGCAGAATCTCACTAGAGATGACTAAGTGTTTTCATAACATATGCATCCCTCAGTAGCCCGCTACCAGTGTGATTCAGGCTGTTCAAGCCCTAAAGACTGATTCTGAAATAGTCTCTTCCCCAGGCAAGCACCTCCTCAGTTGAAGAGTTCAGAGCACCCGGGCAAGGGCAGAGCACCGAGTGCTGCTCCAAAGGCACCTTCAGGGCTAATGTGTTTGACATTGTTTTGCTTATGTTTCCTGCTGCAAATCAAGATGACGTTTAGGAAATTAATATATAAAACCCCTTTATTGAACCACTACATCCCGTTAGCAGCTCAGAGACCAGCTGTGAACACTTGCTTGCCAGAACTTCCTATTGACATCATAAAAGCATGGAGCTCCTTATCAGACCATGCAGAGACAGGTTTTTGACGTTTTTTCCCTACACTTCCGCACTTTTCCCAGTGTTGTAGGCCTTGGCTTTTTGTAACACAACAGAGATGCAGTCTTGCAACTGACAAATCCATCAAATTCTAATGCTCTGTCTCATTTGAAACTGTTCAAAAAACAGCACATATGAAATGAGGGTTTGCATTGTGATTTGTATATAGCAGAAGGATGTCACAGGGGCACTGCATTAAAAATTTTGTGTTTGGAGGGGGAAGTATATGCATATGTTCTTTAACAAAATATTTTTTCTGCACTTTGATCAGAATACACTTATTGGCAAAGATCATTTTTCAAAAATAATTACTATTGGAGCTGTTGATAGTATTAGTTTTCATAAATTCATCCAGTTATAATTAATATGTGCCTTTCAAGGACGTAAAAGGGAAGGCATTCAATATTTCTTGTCTCTAATTTTAGTATGATCTGATTTTCCTCTGGTTGCCTTTCCAAACACCTGGGGCCAGCCATATGAGTAAATTAGATTGTGCTAAAATGCATATTAATGAAGCTCAAGCAATGGTTCCCTAAAGGGACAGTAAAACTATATATAGCTCCTTTTTTTCCCCCTCTCTTGGCTAATGTGCCTTTCAACACATTTAGATCCAAGTAAAACTATGCCATCATGGAATAGCCAAAAAACAACAACAACAAAAAAAAGAAACTGTTACAACAAAAACTGAGAAGCACGTTTAAGTGAAGTGTCTAAATGATCACTTCTTTTAGTACTTGCATTTTAAAATTGTTTCTTATTAAAAATGGATTTTCTATTAATTGATTTATTCTATGAGAAAAAATAATATCAAGATATTTGGGGTAGAAAGAAGTGGCATATTTGTTAATTCCCATGGCAATCTCTGCATTCTCTTCTCCATTAAAAAAAAACAACCTGATGTCTCATTATAATGAATAACAGTGGAGGGCGGCAATCAGTTATCACATGTGACTCTGAGTATACAGAGTGAAAAGAAAGATTTTTGGAAAAGGAAACTGTAGTAAATTCCAGTTCCTTAGTCAAGTCCTGTCGTGTTATCAGGGATCGTCTACAATAGCATTTCAGTCTGGACCAGATGGGTGTTTTTTAAGGGGATCAGTGCTGACCACGCCTTTTTCACACCACAGAGTGATCATAGAACACATGCACCTGATTCATCGAGGAGAAACTAAACTGGAAGAGAGACTCAAGAGGCACATTTAAAGTGCACTAACTGCTAATGGGTATTCAGCTCATAGAAAGAGAATAGATGAACTCCAAAATGGAAACCTCCTAAATGTGTGGGCACTGGATTCTCAGTACCACCACTTTTAAGCCAGGTGGATGCAGAGGAAACTGCTTGGATGACTAGGGGAGCCCAGGTTATCATACCAGAAAAAATTGTTTTGGTAATTAGAACAAAAGCTTAGAGAGGATGTGACTCAGTGATAAACAACAGGAAGGGAATAGAACTACTGAGTCACAAAACAAACTGACACAAAAATAAGCAAGTATTAACTGCTTGCATCCTAGAAATTAGAAGGAAGATCTAAACACAGATCAAAGAATTTGGAAAGATTTAAACAAAATTGAACTTTTGTAACAACTTTTCAACTGGAATATCATGATTTAAGAGAGCTCCAAATGCATTTCAAATGCATGTTATAGAAGGGATTTTATAATATTTTTGTTATTTCAGTGTTTAAGTGTAGGAGTAGAATATAAGACTTTAATCTATTTGACTATAATGATTCATTTCTAAGCATTTTCAAAGCACTGATCTAAGTTCTCCATATTGCTATAATCAAACCACTTTTTAAACAGGTTTGAGTAATTGTAAATGCCTTTCAGTGAAAAAAGAGGGGGAAAATATACAGATGACTAATCATTAAAAAAATTGTGCAGATCTTTAGGATAAAGAATAATGTATTTATTAAATAGGATGGAAGGACTGATAGTGGCCTATTTGTTAATTGCTTACAGTGATCTCTTTTTTTACCTCTTTATAAATACTGTCATGCTCATTATAGTGGATAGCAATTTCAAACAGTGTCTTTACAAACAGGTCGTGCAAGTGCAGGCTGTGGATCTGCATGACAGTCAGCTGTCCTGTCCTGTTATGTATTTATTTTTATTGCACTGTGTAAGGTATATCAGAAGAGGCAATCAAGAACAGAGGTACTCAGATTCAGTGGCTACTTCTCCAAGCATTGCCAGTCAGCCAGGGGCTTTGCCATGCATGATTTTCAATTAGAAAGAGGAGATGTGTATTCAAGAATTCACATCACTCAAGAGGAGATGTGTATTCAAGAAGTTATTCAGGTTTTCATTTTCTTCTGAGCACCCCTTCAGAGTCAACAATTGAAAATACAGGATAAAAGCTCTCTCTGTATTCATTGTAATTTACTTCTTCCATTTTACCCTTCTCTCCCAGTGAAATGAAATTTTTAACCATACCAAAGCCTTACTTATTATAGGAACAGCATTCAATTTTACAACTACTGAATTTTCATTTCGAGTGTTTTATTATTTTCTTTCTTTCTCCACTGTCTGTGCTGTTTCCTTCTCTCCCCTCAAATACCCACCCTCTTGCACTTCTCTTTGAAGACAATCCTGGCCTCCCTTTGCCACCATGGCTAATGTTTGGAGCCTATTAGTTTGCATCATCGAGAACTGCAGGAATCTGCCTTGTCTCTTCCTTCTCACTGCTACTCATCTCTAGAAGCAGGTGAAACGTGTCTGATCTTGAAATGAGGCTGAGCAACTGCTCTTGAGGTAGGATATCCTGGTAGGAAGTGATAATTTGTTACCACTGATTGCTCTGGACACCCAGGACATTGGTAAAGTTGGACTCACTTACGTGCTATCCATCCTTGATGTGGGTAAAACTGAGAACTAACACTGTCCTCTTCAAGAAGTAATGATTTTGTGAAGGTCTTGGGATCACTTGTGATGAAATGACAGCCAGCTGGGTGGGTGAGGGTCACCCAGATGCAGGTACACAGACAAAGGATTCTCTCATTCAGAAGCAATCCCTGGGCGCTGTGAAGGAAAATCTGCAATTTCAGTATGTTCTCCTAGGAATGAAATATTAAATTAGAGCTCCCACAGAGTTTCCTGAGACCTCTGCTTTTATTCTATAACCATATTAAGCTCTGAGAAATTAAAATGCCAAAAATAAATTAGTGCATATATTAATAAATGCAGAATTAAAAACCTGAAGAGAGAATGGTGAGAAAGCTAGATTTGGCTAAGATATTTTGACTACATCTGACAGTGTGTTTCTATAAAAGTAATTCCAGGTCAATTAAATTGCTCTTGGAAAAATTAAATCTTTTGCATAAAATATGCAAGACCTTTAACTTCTAATCTTTTATGTTTTAATTGTATGGCAAAACATTTTGCTAAAGTAATTTTGTGCATTTAACTTTGAAGCAGTTTTAAAAAGTCAATGACATGGTTTTAAAATATAGCACATGAAACGATATTTCCATCAACATGCAGCAGTTGCCATAAACAGCCTTAATTTCCAGTCTAAATTACTGATCTAAATATATTCAGACAAATTAATGCAATGGAAAATTATAGAACTCAAACTGTATATTTATTTATTGCAACATGTTTCGCTTGCATCTCATCTGCCATTCATACAAAGTTAATTCAAATTTAGTAACTTTTCCACTTTTCGTGCTCAAACTGAGAGGAAAACATGTCTCCAAATGTTCTTAACTGAGTTGAAAAACTTTTTTTGGACTAATCTGTTCACTAATCGGGAATATTATTTCCTATATATCATACGTTATAGCTTCATTTAAACTGTTACAACTATGTTCAGTTGTTTAAGACTTTAAGTAAGTGAACAATAAGTAAAATTGGCCTTTCAGTTTATGTCTAGGCTGCTTTTGAAGAAGCCAGCCCTACAAAGTGAGCCAAGGTTCAGAGAATCACCAGTACACGTGCAGGGTTTTTCTGCAGTCTGTCTCCCAGTGACAACTTTGTAATTGCTTTTAGAGTGACACATGGCACAGGCAGTCTGAACTGGGACACTACTGAGACTGGCTTCATTGAGAAAGGGTTGTATTCCC